CCCCGGAATGTGGGCAGAAAAAATGAAAAAAATAATAATTTAAAATTACAAAAAAAAAAAGTAAAAAAAAAATTGCGGGAAGGGGGGAGGCAGTGGGGTAGGGGTGGAGATAGCAGCCGGGTATTTGCACGCGCTGTATTTTTACCTGGGAGAAAATTTTTTGTGTCAAAGTGGAACAAAAGAAATGGGATTGGAGGGCCAAGATGGAACAAGGCTGAGTTAAAATGCCAAAATAAAAAATTGAGCCAAATTTAATGGTCTGTATATGTATTTGGCCTTAGGAAAATAAGAAAAAATCAGATCGTCGGAGACCCAGTGGTCAACACCCATAGCTTCAGATCGTCGCAGACCTGATAGCTTCAGATTCGAACAAAACAACACCCAAACCAACACCCCAAACCACTCAAAACAACCAATACTTGCTACCTGACTAATTTAGAATGACACCTTCAGCAAAAAAATTCAACGGAACCAACAATTTCATTCATTCACACCATTATTGCTATGATGGGAGGTTTCTAACTTGAACCAGTGGACTTGAATTCAAGCCTAAGATTTTATATTTGGGCAGTTGGTTGGTGGATTCATGATAGTATTTCGAATTTGGGGCGATGAACAGTTTTTTCGGCACCGATGACTAATTGTAGCAAGTAGGAAAAGAAAAGAAAATAGAAAGAAAAAGATTCAAACAACAACAACATACCCAGTAAATTTGACTAGTGGGGTTTGGGGAGGGTAGAATGTATGCAGACCTTACCCCTACCTCGGAAGGGTAGAGAGGCTGTCTCCGGGAGACCCTCGACTCAACAGAAGAGACAATAATATCATAAAAGAAACAAAAGAAAAGGTGTGTCACAGCAAAAGAAACCAGAAAGATAATAACAGCATCGTAAGAGACAACATATAAGTGAAAGGGCAATAACACAATACTATGCAAAACAACAAAATAATATGGACAAAGCATAGACTGCTAACATACCTAGACAAAACTCTATTAGACTACCTGGTACAAAGAGGGAAAAACTCTCGACTACCCCCTAGCCTACAAATCTAATGCTCGACCTCTACACGTTCCTGTTAAGAGCCATGTCCTCGAAAATCTGAAGCCGCACCATGTCCTGCCTGATCACCTCGCCCCAATACTTCTTAGGCCTCCCTCTACCTCTTCTCTTACCTGCCAAAGACAACCACTCGCACCTCCTAACTGGGGCATCTATGGTTTTTCTCCGCACGTGCCCGAACCAGCTAAGCCTCACTTTCCGCATCTTGTCGTCCACGGTAGCAACGCCCACCCTCTCCCGAATATCTTCATTCCTTATCTTATCCAGTGTAATATGCCCGCACATCCATCTCAACATCCTCATTTCGGCTACTTTCATCTTCTGGATATGTGCATTCTTTATTGGCCAACACTCAACCCCATACAACATAGCCGGTCTGGCCACCGCTCTGTAAAACTTACCTTTGAGTTTCGATGGCACATTCTTGTCATACAAGACTCCAAACGTTAATCGCCATTTTATCCACCCCACCCCAATATGATGCGTTACATCCTCGTCGATCTCCCCATCACCCTGGATAATAGACTCTAGGTACTTGAAACTTTCTCTCTTGGGATGACTTGTGAGTCGAGCCGCACTACCATGTCCGCTTTCCCCGTCACGCTGCTGAACTTACACTCCAGATATTCCGTTTTAGTCCTACTCAACTTAAAACCTTTGGACTCCAGGGTCTACCTCCAAACCTCTGGTCTGTTATTAACGCTGCCTCGTGTCTCATCAATCATAACTATATCATCAACGAACAACATACACCATGGCGCCTCCTCTTGAATATGGTATATTAGGGTGTCCGTTGCGAGGGCAAATAAGAACGGGCTAAGCGCAGATCCTTGGTGTAACCCAATAACCACCGGAAAAGCTCTGAGTCACCTCCCGCTGTCCTGACCCAAGTCTTAGCTCTATCATACATATCCTTTATAGATCTAATGTATGCTACCGGCACCCCTTTCACTTCCAGGTATCTCCAAAGAACGTCCCTCGGGACCTTGTCGTACGCCTTCTCTAGGTCAATAAATACCATGTGCAAGTCCCTCTTCTTATCCCTGTACTGTTCCACGAACCTCCTGATAAGGTGGATGGCTTCCGTACTAGAACGACCCGGCATGAACCCAAACTGGTTTTCAGAAATAGACACTGTCTTCTTACCTTCCCTTCCAGCACCCTCTCCCAAACTTTCATGGTATGATTTAACAACTTGATGCCCCTATAGTTGTTACAATTCTGGATATCACCTTTGTTCTTGTACAACGGAATCATCATACTACATCTCCACTCATCTGGCATTCTCTTCTTCCTGAAAATAACATTAAACAGCCGAGTCAGCCACTCCAAGCCTGCTCTACCCACATACCTCTAAAATTCTATTGGGATCTCGTCTGGTCCGGTCGCTTTGCCCCCACTCATCTTACACACAGCTTCCACTACCTCCTCAATCTTAATACGTCTACAGTACCTAAAGTCTCGAAGACTCTCAGAGTGCCGCATATTCCATTATGTACGCGCTTAATTATTTTTTTCTTATTATTTTTTTTCCACATCAACTATTAGGGTGGAATAAAATTCATTCCAAATACATTTAGGAGGGGGGGGGGAGGGGGGAAGAGGAAAGAACACCCGTTTAATTTAGGTGTTTAAACATATTTTTTGCACAAATTTAATGGGTCTTTATGTATTTTACCTATATAAAAAGAACTTAAGAATTCTTAAAACATGTGCCACATGTTCAAAGTAAATTCGTGATCTCAACAACAAAATTATAATCTAGTGATATTGATGAGAAAGTCTTCACGTAATATTACCTTCTCCCCCTTTCTATTTCCTAATATCGGAGTGTAAACAAACTCTAAAAAACACTTAATCACATACCTACTCGTTTTGTCGTAAAAAATTATTTTATTATTTCAACTTCTATCTTAAAATATTATACCTTTCGTCACAATTTATGTGACACTATTTTCTTTTTAATCAGTTTCAAGAAGAATGATACTTTATCATATATAATTTTAAATTAAATATATTTATTTTTAATGGGATAATTTGTAACGACATAAATTTTTATGATTTATTTTAGATCGTAATTTCAAAAGTCTTCTTTTATTTTTAATCTTTCGCGCCCACTTAAACATGCTACATAAATTGAAACGATGGAGTATATCAATTTAATACATTATATCAACAGTTTGATGCACTATATCAATTTCAACTTAGAAATAAAACATTTGAAGATAGCTTGAGAAGTATTTTTTAGTTTTCAACACTCGCAGAACAATTTTTTTTCTTAACGGGAATTAAATTCCGAATTGTATCTTTCAACTTTTACTTTAAATATTTTTCTTTTTTCAAATCAAGTCTTGTATCCACGTGTCAAATAATAAAAACCATAATTTCATAGAGTTAAATATTTCCGCTTCACTAGTTGTACTCGTGGGTATACACACTCCGCAGCGACAAAAGTTTCTATAAATAGTCAGTATGAATTACATAATGGAAAGCACTACACAGTTGTAGGGCAGCAGCGGTTTTCCATTAATCTCTCTTCTGACTTCTGTGGGCGGTGGTCTCTTTCCAATCTCTGCACCAACAAAAAAAGGTCAGCTTCTGATCTCTGATTATTACCTCAAAATATTTTACACCCTTTTGATTTCTCATATCATTAATTACAAGAAAAATGAAATGTAACTAGATAAAATAAAACATACTTAGGATTCATACCGACTAGTATTGATCCAAATTATTTATGGGATTGAGGTGTAGTTTATTAGTTGATTGATTGATTTTGTTGTAATTGTGATTTGTTGGTCGGCCAGCGATATTGATTTGTGGAAGCATGATTTAGGTCAAGTAGCTGCTTGAGCTGGTGTAATGAAATTCTTTAATTAAGTTTGTAATGGGTTTGTGTTTTTGTCGAGTATTTTGATATGGGTGTGAGAATTTTTGAAGATCCTTTTGAGTTTCGGTTCAGAATTTTAATATTTTGATTTGTGGTCTTTCTCCATTTTAGCTCAAAAAACCTGTTAAACTATTTTTGATTTATCATCATTGTACTAAGCATTAAATGTAACATAAATAAAATAAAACGAAGAATTTATAAAGGTGATTGGTTGATTGATTGATGGATTTGTTGTAGTTGTGATTTGTTGGTCGGCCATTGAAATTGATTTGTACAATCCATGATTTTATATCAAGTAGCTGCTTGAGCTGGTGTAATGAAATTCTTTTAAATAAATTGACCTGCGTTTGTGTTATCGTTGAGTGATCTGATGTGGGTGTGAGAATTTCTGAAGACCCTTTTGAGTTTCTCTTCAAGATTTTGACACTTGATTGTGTTCTTGATCGATTTTAGATTTTGGTATAAAATGATTGAATTTGTTTTTTTAAGAAGGTGCTTGAATTTGCTTATTATTTGTCTTAGTGTCTTGTTCTTTTGTTAAATCAAGCAGCATTTCATGTTCTCATGATTTCTGGAAGGATCATTTAGATGAAGTAGCTGCTCTAGCTAGTGTAGTGAAATTCTATAAAAGAGAAATGGCTTGGGTTTGCGTTTCTTTAATTGTCTTGTTATAGGTGTGAGATTTTTTTAAGACACTTTTTGGCTTGTCGGTTAAATTTGATCTTTGATTTGTTTTCTTGCTCTCCTACTAGCTCTCCCCCCTAAGAATCCCATGTGCGAGTTACCCCGCATACGGCTCAAGTGGCGAAGGCCCTTCCGGTCGCGCTTGGTAAGCGCTTCGATGTAGCCAAGCTTACTACTAGCCGATGAATGTTGATGTCAAATGATTAATTTTTCTTATAGGATGCATTTTCCCCAAAAAAATAAAAAATTGCTTATAGGATGTGAAGATAACTATAAATGTTTCTTTGGATTTTGTCTTTGCCACTGGCAATGAGATTGATTTGTGGAATCAAATCATTCATTCCATAACCTGATAGTTCTTATGTTTAAATCAAATAGCTGCTTGAGTTAGTGTAAGGAAGTATTTTGAAAAATTGGCCTGCAGTTGAGTGTCTTGATATGGGGTATAAATATTTTTGAAAACCTTTTTTGGTCTCTCTCTCTCTCTCACACACACACACACACACACACACAAAAAAAAAAAAAAAAAAAAAAAAAACATTATCTGTTCAATCACTGATTATCAAGTTGAATAAACCAAATTAGTTTATATACAGTCAAGTGTATACTTGTGTGATTGTATAAGAGAGTAATTTGTCATTTGTTGAGAAATATTTCTTGCTACAAGCATGGGATCGATGAGTCTGACACTCACCTGAAAAGGAAATTGAGATTCATTCACAGCATTATATTGCTTTTAATGTTTCTAACATAGGATGTTATAGCAATACTCTAGTGATTGTACAGATAAAGGGGCTTATGTACCTAATTCTTTGATCCTTCACAAACTCTCTCTAATGGTCAGAAAGGCACATTACCTTTTCAATGGGTATATTTTTGTGTTGTTCTCAAAAGACAAATAAGTGGATATTGATTCTTGTGCGAGTGAGAGTGGAAACGACGGAGGGGGAAGCAGGGGGTTTGAGAACATAACCAAATGAACATGCAAATGTTGGAGAATGTTATGCCAGTAATATTGGGTTGAGAATAAGTTACTTGACAGATACTTCATTCTAAGTTGATTTGAGGCGTGTCTGTAATTCAATGTAATGCTGAGCTTGTGAAATGGCAAATTCAAATACTTTCCTTTTGGTAATTAATTCGAGTACTTTTCATGCAAGCGTATTGGTAGAATGATGTTTCAAGCAAATTTTGAACCCAAAAATACATATATTCATTTGTTGCTAACTCATATTGTCAATAGACATTTGTTTGCGTGATTTGCTTACTGTTTCTATTATTCAGGTTTAGAAAATCAAAAGTAAGAGATGGTCAGAGCATATTCACAAGAGCACACATATAAGCACCCATGGGAACGTGTAACTTCTGCATCCTGGCGCAAGTTTGCTGATCCGGAGAACAAGCGCACTCTATCACACATCCTCGAGGTTGACACATTGAACCACAAGCTTGATCCCAGTTCAGGGATGCTTTATACTACTCGTGCCATAACTATCCATGCACCAGGACCATGGTTTGTTCGTAAAATCATTGGTCAGGACATCTGCCACTGTGTAGAATCAACTGTTGTCGATGCCCAATCTCGGTCAATGCAACTCTCCACTCGAAACATTAGTCTCGAGAAGTACATAGAAGTGGAGGAGAAAATCAGATATGACCCTCATCCAGATAATCCAAATTTATGGACCGTCTGCAAGCAGGAAACGAGTATTAGGATCAAGCCGTTTTCAGCTCTGGCTTCAATGGCAGAGAAAATAGAGCAGAAGTGTGTGGATAAGTTTCAAGCAAACAGTGCTAAGGGAAGAGAAGTGATGGAACGGATGTGCAAGTATCTCGAAGCTGAATCCTCGAGAGGCATTACAGCATGATTTAGTAATCCAAATTTACGTTAGGCTTCTTAAGTGCTAGTATTCAACCCCTCCTTTAAAGGTGAGAGGTGAGTTCTTAATGATCGCTGTTGGCGGATGAATATCATAGCATGTAAAAGAGGACACCAATCATGGATTGTTCCTTCTGAACTTTTTGTAAGCTGTAGTAGATGCAATAACAAAGTTATCATAGCATTTCATTGTGAGAATGTTACCTAGATGCACATTTTACTTTAAAATGCTGCAGTTTGAATGTGTAGACATTGTATGCTTCATCTTAAATGGTTTAACCAATGATCATATATATCTGTCTATCTGGTTCACTTCTGAAGTATCTCAAACAAATAAAAGAATTTATGCTCTAGAAGAGCTTGTATTTAAGTGCATTTTTATCCAAATAGTACTGTTATTTTTGTACTAACTCGCAACAACACAACTTCATTATAGTTAGTTCAAAGACTGAGATCTCGTTCCAACAGTTCTTCCGTGAAGGCTCTCTTTTATTTTCAGGATGGAACCTTTGTTCAGGACCCAGTGAAATTTCACTAGTGGGGTCCGGGGAGGGTAGTGTGTACGCAGACCTTACCCCCTACCCTGAGGGAGTAGAGAGGTTGTTTCCGATAGACTCTCAGAGGCAATATATCAGTACTATCAACAGAAACCATAGAGAAAAATAACAGCATCACAAGAACTAGAAAATAGATGAAAAGCAAAACAATAACCAGTAGATAAAAAAACGGAAGAGAGTAAAGGTTACCACAATGGCATTTAAATCCAGTTAAGCCAACCTTTTTTGTGACAAGAGCTGCACTGCTTAGGACCCTCCTTAGCCTCCAATTCGGCAGACTCACGGGAACTTGAAGCTACACACTTTGCTTCCACAGAATCAGGTTGCACATACACAGAGCTAACTATCAGTCCCTTCTCTCTGACACTTGATCCATTGACAAGGTTTTCTATTGATGACGCCGCAAGCTTACACTGTTCTTGTTTCAATATCATGTCCTTATAACAGTTGGAGCACATGTTCATGCTTGCAGCACTTCCGACGAATCAACGGTTGTTAATGCACAAAATAGGGCCTTCTGAAGGATGGTTGCATCCTGTTTCATCGTGCTCCATATTGTCAAATTCTCCTGCAAAGAATTCATTTAAAGATACAAATCATTGATATATAAAAAAAATCCAGCACCTTTCTCTCCAGAGAAAAGAATAAGCGACAAAGGGAGAGTAGTGTGAAGACCCCTACCTCGTGAAGGTAGAGAGGCTGTTTCCGATAGACTTCTTGGCTCAAGGAAAGCGTAATCATAGTTAATGGTTAAGGTTTTTAAAAAGGGTCATCCCATCCATTTATTCAGGAAAAAATCTGCTTCCTAAAGACTCTACCAACTGGTAGACTAGAAAACCGAAAACAACAATATGGTTTTTGCTTCAAAGTTAAAAAGCCTGCATCTAGTCGTGAAACATAATCGATTACAGTACATAAAGTCGATCTAAAATCAAGAAACAAAAATGATACTAATAAAGTTTAATCAAGATCCTCAAAGCTACTAATTATTATGAGTAAAGAACTTTAGAATAGCCATTTTTCTAAAATTCTATTCTGATACTTACAGACACAAGCTATACCAACTACATCAAACAATTCTTAAAAGGTAAGATATCCAAAATAAAGCTCGGAGACATACAAGTTAAATAATGGATTAACCCCAAGAAACAAAAAGGGTAATCATAATGCTTAATCAATATACTTAAAGATATCAATGTTCATGAGCAAAGTGCAAACAAACTTCAAAGCCAGCAACTTTAAAAGCCTTGAATTAACACCAATTTCTAATATCACAAATACAAGCTATACAAATTACGCATCACATCAAACAATTCTTTAAGGGTAATATCCAAATGAAGAACATACAAGTAAAATCAAAAGATTATCCTAACAAACAAAAAGAGCAGTCGAAAAGCCTAATCAAGAACCTTAACAATACCAACTTTTATTATTTTTTTGATAACCACCTTAACGATATCAATTTTCACTAGCAAAATAACTTCACAGACTGCAACTTTATGCCCTTAAAGTGATACTCCTTCCAATAATCACAAACACAAGCCACGCCTTAACACAATCAATCAATTCTATCCATATATGTAAAACAAAAGATTATCCTAACAAACAAAATTGGTAGTCATTGTTAAAAAAATAATAATAACAATATTTTTTTAATATCTCAAAAAGAATATTTAAATTGATGTCTAGGTTCATTCTTTTAGTGGGTCTTTATTAGACTAATCAATAGAATATATTTTAATATCTATAACTGAAAATTATAATATATTGTTTATATTATAACATACCTTTTATTAGCATTCAAAGCCTTTAAATCCTTTATTTTGAAACCTTTGTCAGTTAGCAACAGCCATTATGGCTGTGAATGTTAACGTTTGAAACGTTTTGGTAGATTAAAAAGCCTTTATGGCTTTTGACAATTTGATGTCAGAAAGTGCATTTCTTTGCACTATATATATATTTTTTTGTTTTCATCTTCTAGAGTGTGTGGAAAAACATATTCATTATATTTATAATAANATATTCGTATATATATATATATATATATATATATATATATATATATATTTGTTTATATATATATATATATATTTGTTTTCATCTTCGAGAGTGTGTGCAAAAAGTTAAAAAGCTTTTCTTCCTTTTTCTTTTGTGCTGGGTTTTCCTCTTATAAGTCTTTGTTGTTTCTGCTCCTAGTTATACTAGAAGAGCTTGTTGAATCCTGGGGGATACGCCTAATATTATTCATCTCGGTGTGGGCGAAATATCCTTAAGGACAGTGTCTTTGACACGCCTCAAGCTAAACCATTTATTCTCCATAATCATCCAATTTTTCCAACAATCTTAAGGATATTTACACGCTGTTATTATGGAGCTGCTAATGTTGTTGTTGTTGCTACTACACCCGCTGCGCCTACTGTTTCTGTTGTTGTTCCATCGCTAATTACATGTGCCAAATCTTTTTCCGATGTTTTGAAAATTACGGTTTCTGGTGGAGATAATTTTAACCGCAAGCACGCTGTTGTTGACAAAGGAAAAGAAATTGCAACTAGAAGCAGCCTTGTGGAGGACAACAACCGTCAGAGAAAATCAAGTAACAGGTATGACGAAAGAAATGGTTATAAGCCCAAAACCAACTATCAAACCTTCAAGGAAAAAAGCAACTGCTTTGTGTGTGGCAAACCTGGCCGCTATGTTGCTCAATGTCGAAAAAGGGTTGGGAATGACAATCCCACTAAGGCTAAAGTGAATTTGACTGAAGCCAAAGTGGATGATATAATTGTTGCGGTTGTTCCCCAAGTGAACCTTGTGGCCAATGTGAAAGATTGGATGTTAGATTCTGGTGCCACTAGGCACATATGTGCTAACAAAAAAGACTTTGTGTCTTACACCCAAGTTGAGGAGGGAGAAGAAGTTGTCTATCTTGGTGACTCAAGAACTACTCAAGTTCTTGGAAAAGGCAAAGTTCTTCTCAAACTCACATCTGGCAAAACTTTGGCATTGAATGACGTGTTGCATGTTCATAGTATCCGAGCCAATTTGGTCTCTGTGGGATTATTAGGAAAAGTGGGGGTGAAGGTTTCTTTTGAATCTGATAAGGTCGTGTTGACCAAGAATGATAATTTTGTTGGCAAGGGTTATTATAGCCATGGCTTGTTTGTACTCAATGTTATGAATGAAAATGCTAGTTCTTCTGCTTACTTGATTGATTCTTTTAATTTATGGCATGATAGATTAGGACATGTTAGTTTATTTTACATTAAGAAAATGCATTCTGAAGGTCTTATTTCAAATATTAATTTTTCGAATATTGATAAGTGTGAAGTTTGTGCAGAAGCTAAACAAACTAAGAAATCATGTGCTTCAGTATTTAGAGAATCTGAATTATTAAGTTTAATTCATACTGATCTAGGAGACTTGAAACAAACTATGACTAGAGGAGGGAAAAAAATATTATGTTACTTTTATAGACGATTTTTTTAGATATACAAAAGTTCATTTGTTGAGAAATAAAGATGAAGCTTTTAATAAGTTTTTAATTTATAAATCTGAAGTAGAAAATCAATTGAATAAGAAAATCAAAAGAGTTAGATCCGATAGAGGTGGTGAATTTATTTTTTTGAATGATTATTCTGAGAAAGAGGCATAATTCACGAGATAACTCCGCCCTATTCTCCACAATCTAATGGTAGCGGAAAGAAAAAATAGGACCTTAAAGGAAATGATGAATAGCATGCTTGTTAGTTCTGGTGCTCCGGATAATCTTTGGGGTGAAGCCATTTTATCTGCTTGTCATTTACAAAATAGAATTCCTTATAAGAAAACGGGTAAAACTCCTTATGCGTTGTGGAAAGGGTATCCACCTAATTTGAAATATTTGAAAGTGTGGGGGTGCCTTGCTAAAGTTATGTTGCCTGATCCTAAGAAAAGGAAAATAGGATCTAAAACATCTGATTGTATATTTATTGGGTATGCTGAAAACAGTGCAGCATACAGATTTTTAGTAGTCAAAAGTGATGTACTTGAAAACAATAATTATTGAAACAAAAAATGCTGAATTTTTTGAAAATATTTTTTCTTTGAAATTTGAGAAAATTTCTGATGCTCCTATTATTCCAAGTGATAATATTTCACATGTTCCAATTGTTCAAAATAATTTTGAAAGTGAGGATTTAAGAAGAAGCAAAAGGCCAAAGAAAGAAAAATCTTTTGGTAATGATTTTTATATTTATCTTGTGGATAATGATCCTTTAACATATTCTGAAGCTATTTCTTCATCTGATGCCTCATTTTAGAAAGAAGCTATTGATGTAGAATTAAATTCAATTTTACAAAATAAAATTTGGATTTTAGTTGATTTACCTCTGGGAGCTAAACCCATTGGTTGTAAATGGATTTTTAAGAAGAAACTCAATCCGGATGGTTCCATTGATAACTACAAATCTAGACTTGTTGCAAAAGGTTTTACCCAAAAGCAAAATGTTGATTATTTTGATACTTATGCTCCTGTAACTAGAATTTCCTCAATTCGTGTTTTTACTTGCCTTGGCTTCTATTTATAAACTTTTTATTCACCAAATGGATGTTAAAACTGCATTTTTAAATGGTGATTTGGAAGAGGAAATTTACATGGAGCAACCTGAGGGTTGTATAGTGTCTGGCCAAGAAAACAAAGTATGTAAATTGCTAAAATCTTTATATGGTCTAAAGCAAGCACCTAAACAGTGGCATGAAAAATTTGAACAAGTATTGATTAATG